AGTGAGGTTACCGGAAGCCCAATTACCCTCCCCTTCCCCAATCTCCCCAATTCCTGAATCCCCAACGATCTTCAAACTCCTAATCCCCAAAAGACCGGTAACGCATTTGTAACGCCTCTGGTGTTCCAGATGTCCGTGGGCGACGCCGATTGCTTACCAACAGGTAATCCGTCTACTCGTTTACCGGCTTATGCCATAAAAAAAGCTATCTCTAATCTCGTTAGCAATGCGTGCCGAAAGATTTGATGCTGTAAGTGCGGTAGGGACCAGTTGAGAAGATATTTGTTAACACCAGGTATCGCCGGGCTGCAAAATGCTTACTACGCACCCGCAGACGTTTGGCCAAAAGGCGCGCCCACTCTAGGGTTTATATAGAAACAGTATATTACATATTATATTTTCTGCTTACTCACGTAACTGTTTAACGAAGAACTCGACTAGTTTCAAGCCATGCTAGAGACTCATATTCATGAGCAGCATTTCGCGACCCGCGACGCGGCGACTGTCGCTGCTACTGGCTTCTTGAGTCAGCTGCGGTACGGGCCCAATGCGCCCTCTATCGTGATTCACGCATCGCGGAATGCTGCTCATGAATATGAGACTAGAGCATGGCTTGAAACTAGTCGAGTTCCTCGTCAATCAGTTACGTGAGCAAGCCGAAATCATAATAATTAATTTAGTATGCCTCACGACAGTTTTAATATAAACAGTATATTAGAGTTCCAAATCACCCAATTTTAAGACCAAAGCCCCCTATTTCGTAAGCAGCGCCACCTATGCAGAAGTTGTGAAACTATGACCACCATATATATACATATAAAAATACAGAATAAACATAAGACTTCACAGGCACTGGTTCAGACTAGACAGTGAACAAAATTTCGGAAATTCAATATAAATTTTTTAAACTACTGCCTCGTTGGCCGAGTGGTCGCAAGTGCGACTGCCGGGCAAGGGGTCTCGGGTTCGATTCCCGGGTCGGGCAAAGTATTACTGGGTTTTTAAAAAATTCTCAGTAGTAGCACGGAGTCTGGAATCGTGCCCGGTATATGGCAATAGGCTCACCCCCTATTACATGGGACTCATAACATAAATAGTGAAAAGTGGGTGTTACATTGTACAGTGGCATAATGTGCACCTCTGCCTACCCCTTCGGGGATAAAAGGCGTGATGTTATGTATGTATGTGTATGTATTTTTTAAACTTTCTTTAGAAATTGAGACGAGAATTAATCGAAATTGTTTGAAAATCTTTGCTAGAGCTTTCAAATACAAATAAGACGCGAAAGTAAGAAACAATATTGTTATTGGGCACGACAAAAGGGTCCAAGGGTGCTTGATAACAAGTTAAGTATTCCATACACGCTAGGTTATGCATGATGGTTATAACTGTGCATGCAAAACCGTCAAGGTCAAGGTCGTGGTGGCCCGGAGGTTTAAGACGCCCACTTCTCATGCCTGAGGGTGCGGGTTCGAAACCTACCAACGGCAAGTACCAATGTGACTTTTTCCGAGTTATATGTACTTTCTAAGATTATTTAGACACCACTGACAAACGGTAAAGGAAAAACATCGTGAGGAAACCTGGACTTGTAATTTCTAATTATAAGTTTGAAATCGCCAACCCGCATTGAGCAAGCGTGGTGATTAATGCTCTAACCTTCTCAGTGTGAGAAGAGGCTTTGCTCAGCAGTGGGCATTTATAGGCTGTTGATGATGATGCAAAACCGACAAACATAACCTAGCACCGATGCACCGATAACTGTGCAGTTTAATCACATACACGGTAGGGCTTCAAGTCAGTTATGCATGCACGGGTAAAACCATCATGCAAAACCTAGCGTGTATGGCCTCCTTTACATTTCAGGGCTCATCATCATGGACAGCATACGCCACGATGATGTCAGTCATCGCGCACGATGTTCATATCATGAGTCAACCACACATAACACATAACATCACGCCTTTTTATCCCCGAAGGGGTAGAGGTGCACACTGAAGTAACACCCACTTTTCACTATTTATGTTATGAGTCCCATAGTCCCATGTAACGAGTCAACCTTTCATATTATATTATATAAACACTGGGCTGAATAAAAAAGGATTACTATAGAAATCTGGGTGTCTTCAAGGCCCGAGTGAATAGATTGCTTATGGGACGACGTGCTCCATCGTAGACCGCATCATCGCTTACCACCAGGCGAGATAGTGGTCAAACGTCGGCCGGTCAAATTATAAAAAAAAAAATTACCGCGAAATTAATAGATATCGAACCTTATTACAAGAAATATAAGGTCGAAAATCGATTACAGCATCTTAAAAACGTAATTTAATCGTGATCAAAGAACCAGTGCCCTTAAAGTGTTACATTTACTCATATTCACCTTTTTTACATAAAACACAGAATAAAAATGAATTTGCTTACTGTACTTGATGTTCACCGTGATGATAATAAAGTTTCATTTTCAAAAACACACTTATAACCCCTCACAAGGGGCAAGCAGGGGTGTGCTTATTGCACACGATAAAAAAAAAATTAAGGGTAATATTATACACCCCCGATTACGTAAATCATCTATTCACATTAAAAAAAAATATTTCTTTTTAAACTTCATTGATGAAATACGGTTATTTATTGTATCTTATTAAAATGATCGTAACCTTAATACAAATTCAAGCATCGAACCATCGTCCTCATGCTTGATAATCGTACACGCAAATTAAAAAATCTTTACCCAGATTTATTTATTAAAACATTATCGAATTAATACTATAATTTACGTAATTAAAAATTTTGTATATGTATGTCGAAATATATAAAATTAAAATGTCGCAATTATAAAATTATTATTAATATTAATTTTAAACACACAAATGTCGTGATATATGTTTTTGAATTGTCCTTAAGTCATATGTTTTTGGATTTCCCTAAAACCGTTGCAGATGAAACCAAAAGCCTCCCTATTGTTCATCAATAGAGTTCAAAACTAATGAAAAACAATATGTAAGTAAATAAAAAAATGATTTTCAGAAACCCCAAAAAAAAAAAATCGACAAAATCGGTCGCACTAGTAAAGAAAAAAAACAATAACTCTTTGGGTACCGTCATTATAGACACAATTAAAGAACAATAGGTTGCGGTCACCAATGTCCTCGCGGTGTTTGACAGTTAAAAAAGAAAATTTTAATAAAGTACAACCAGCTTTGCCGATCTTTAATCATTCTTATCAAAAGTATACCCAACTCAGCAGCTGTAGCCAAATGCCATTTAGCGCTTGTCTACATGTAGAATAGAAAACCAAATTATATGGAATTGACGTAAATTTTGACACTCATCCACATACATTTTGATTTCTACTCTCTATGTAGACAAGCGCTAAAGTGGCGTTTGGCTACAGGCACTGGTGTTTCAAAGACAATATGTTGTGTATGACAATAAAACATTTGGTATGTTCAAAGCAGTTCATAATCTCACTCATCAAGCCATCTCATTCAATCTACTTTAATATAGGGTAGTAGACTAAATTTTATTTCTATGTCCGTCTGGTAGATCATTTTAAAACCATAGACACGTATTTTTCTTTTCTTTAAAATTAAATACTTTCGACGATATACATAACATAACATCAGGGCTTTTATCCCCGAAGGGGTAGGCAGATGTGCACATTACGGCACTTAATGCCACTGTACAATGTAACACCCACTTTTCACTATTCATGTTATGAGTCCCATGTAATAGGGGGTGAGCCTGTTGCTATATACCGAGACATTTCCAGACTCCGTGCTACTACTGACTGGGTACTGGTTTTTACAAACCCGACCCGGGAATCGAACCCGAGACTTTCCACCACTCGGCCTATGAGGCAGTCGACTTTATCACTTTTGACGATATACTGATTTCAAATATCGTGTGACGTCACGATTTACTACATTTTTATATGGTAGCGTGACGTAACGACCTCCCACTCCTAAACTTAACTCCATTTTATCTGAGTATAGTTTTCTTATACGATAAAATAAAAAAAATACGTGTCTAATATTTTTTCATATCTAACTGACGGACTAATTACTTGTTTTAAATCATACACTGTCTACCCTGTTCTAACATACTACACAAACTAAAAACAAAATGTAACCAAGTCATTCTTTTGTTTCATTATTAAAAGGAATGCAATACTGGGGCACCGAAATCCCGAAGCTCCGCATGTCTTTTCCGAAGCTAATATGATAGGATAGTTCGTTATTCGCGTTTTGAGAATTTCGAAAGGATATTCTACCGTGTCGTGTCAAACTCCCGTGAAATGATAATGCCTTGAATGCAAACACCAAGCAAGAAAGTCCTTTCGATAATATAAAAAACCAATGCAAATATGAGGGGTAAATTTTCCTTAAAGAATTGCATTCCCTCTATAACAAACACACTTAAAAATTGTGACCAACTCATTCATTACTAAAACAAAACTCAATTTGAAATGAAACCAACTCAGTATCAAAATGTAATCAACTCATTCATTACAAACCAACTCAGTGTAAGATGTAACTAACTCACTCAAACTGTAACCAATTCAATTTCAAACTATAACGGACTAAGTAAAGTGTAACCAACTCATTCATTACTCAAACCAACTCAGTGTAAAATGTAACTAACTCACTGAAAGGGTAACCAACTCAGCATAAAGTGTAAATTACTAACTCAAAGTGCAACCAACTCAATATTAAGTGTAACCGACTAAGTATAGTGTAACCAATTCTTTCATTCTCAAACCAACTCAGTATCAAATGATACCAACTCACTCAAAGTGTAACCAACACAACATCAAACTGTAAACAACTCACTCAACGTGTAACCAACTCAATAGAAAGTGCAACCAACTCATTCATTTTTCAAACCATCTCAGTATCAAATGACACCAATTCACTCAAAGTGTAACGAACTCAGTATAAAGTATAAACAACTCACTCAAAGTGTACCAAACTCTATATAAAGTGTAACCAACTAACCTGTGGACCGTCTTCATCTTCCTCTGGTTCTTTATACTTCCTAACCATATGTTCTTCAACTGGTTGGAAGAGTAACGCAGCTGCCCATACGTTGAGCATTATCCCGCCGAGGATTAGGACTGCGCCTCTGAAAAAGTAGAGTACAAAAGTTATATATAGCGTCATAAATAAAGGATTTTATGTGGAAGAGGTGGTTCTTCCGCGTCGATACGAGTGGGTCGACTCGACTGGAGTGATACCACGGTTGAGCAGCAAACTGAAATGTAACAACGCTTGAGTTCTATTTCGCCGCTTGAAGTTCCTAGATATCCTCCGGAGGGAGGGATTGGCTTGAAGATAAGGATCCTCAACCCCCAAAAGTTCGGCAACGCAATTGTAACTCCTCTGTTGACCATGGGCGTCGCCGATTGCTTATCATCAGGTGATCCATCTGCTCGTTTGTTGCACTAACACATAAAAAACTTTGTTCGAATAATACTTTTTTTTTAACGGCTTAATACGTGGCTCAAACCAGTAACCAAGTGCTTGAAGAAACCCGTGACTAATTAATGATATAACGGGGCTACTGTATTATTGCTCACTAGCCTCCCCAGTCTCCCCAATCCCCGAATCCCCCACAACCCTTTAATTCCCGATTCCCAAAAGGCCGGTAATAGAAAGAAAGAAAGAAGAAGAAAGAAAAATCTGCACACCGTCACAAGGTACAATAACACAAAAAATAAAATAAAAAACAATACAGTAAAGACGGCGCAAAAAGGCCAGAGCTCAGCTTAAATGCCGTGACACGAGTGTGCTCGAGTCGCGGCACTGATTTTCAGCACTTGCCCGTGACCATTATAATATTATACATTTAATAATAATAATAATAGAAAAACAATAAAAAAATACACTTAATACACTTAACTTAAAAATACAGTAATACACTTGTAACGCCTCTGGTGTCCATTGGGCGACATCGATTGCTTACCATCAGGTGATCTGTCTGCTCGTTAACCGGCTTATACCATAAAAAAATAAAAATAGTGTATTTTACTCACTTGTACCCATATTCTTCTAGCAGATACCTAAGTACGGGCGGTAGTATAATACTGCCGAATGCACTGCCCGACATACAGATCCCGTTGGCCAGCCCTCTTAGCCGGACGAAGTATGACGTCACTATGTACACCGTAGGTGGGAAGGCTAGACCAGCGCCCGTGCCCACCATTGCACCGAAACTGGAATGAAATGGGATAAAGTTTTATTTATTGTATGTGTAACTAGTGTCGTGTGTGTGTGTGAATGTATCAGCACGGAACAACTCTTTGTGTGATCCACGGATTGTTGTTCCGGGTCTGGGTGCCATGTGTATGTGAACTTGTATGTTTGTAAACGCACCCACGACACAGGAGCGAATCCTAGTGTGGGATAAAGTTGCGGAGAACCTAACGGGTTACCGGGGCTCCGGCTCGACGTGCAGGAGAAGGAACGGGGTGGTTTTTAGTCAGTAAGAGTCTGACACTCCCTCCCGCCTCACACAGGCGGGAGCAGTTATTCGATGATTTCCCCCCCCCCCCTAAAAAAACCTCATTTATCCAAAATAAAAATAAAAAAGTAAAAAAAAAACATTACCTGAAGTACAAATAAGTTATAGAAAACGCACAGCTGCTGAATATCATCCCGAACGCAGCGAAACTGCCGCCGATGAGCGTCACCGTACGGTACGACCATTTCACTGACAATATCGACGATAAAGGACCTGGAAACATGAACGGAAATATTAGTGTTAAAAGATCTAAAATTTTATTTGAATTAGATCTAAAGAGACACTTGAAAAAAAGAAAGTTATATTATTTCCATATATTTATTTAAAATTCTCTATAAATTACATTTTTAAATACTATTTAAGAATATAAAAAATAGGAGCCGACCAGTAGCGGGAGCATGGTCCAAGCTACCGGTGGTTAGGGCTCCAGAGACAGAAACCTCCTCATGATACGTGCCGTTTATAGGAGAACTGCCTTCTGTATCAGGCCCTTGATCCATAAGATGGATGTCGAGGCTTTTAGGGATTAACCCATTGGCCGACACGACTATCGGCACAATGATAGCCGAATCCACACTCCACATGTCGACAACCTCGTGAGCTAAGTCTAGATATTTTTATTGTATTATTAATTATTATGTTTCCGGCTTACTCACGTAACTGTTTGACAAGGAACTCGAATAGTTTCAAGCCGTGCTAGAGGCTCATATCTTAGCTCGTAGCAGCGCGACAGTCGCCGCGTCGCGGATCGCGGAATGCTGCTATCTACTACTCGACTAGTTTCAAGCCATTCTAGAGGCTCATATTCATGAGCAGCATTTCGCGAACCGCGACAGTCGCCGCGTCGTCTGAGCCTTTAACATACGTACGTCGTTTTTCTGCTCGGCCGTGGTATCATTACGGTCGAGCCGACCCATTCGTGCCGAAGCATGGCTCTCCTATACTAAAATCATTTCTTCTCGCAACCAGAGGGCTAAATATTTCTTCGGACAGAAAATAAGCATTGCTATTCAACGTGGCAATGCTGCCAGTCTTCTGGACACGTTCTCCAGTGACAGCGATGCGGACGAATTCTTTGACGCCTAATTGACGGAATTTAGTTTTTTCTTCTCGTTTTATTTGCTATACTAGTTCATTTTAAGATACAACTTATATTTATTCATAATATTATAGTTAAAAGTAAGATCTGATTAAGCTACAAATTCAAATGTAATCAAGTTTGTAACACAAGTTTGACTGCCTCGTTGGCCGTGTGGTCGCAATCGCGATTGTACAGGGTCTCGGGTTCAATTCCCGGGTCGGGCAAAGTATTACTGGTTTAAAAAAAATCCCAGTAGTAGCACGGAGTATGAAATTATGCACGGTATATGGCAATAGGCTCACCCCCTATTACATGGAACTCATAACATAAATAGTGAAAAGTGGGTGTTACATTGTACAGTGGCATTAAGTGGCGTAATGTACACCTCTGCCTACCCCTTCGAGGATATAAGGCGTGATGTTATGTTACTTACCTAAACTGCTGTACAAGAAGTAACACAGCGCCACGATGCCTGATGATGCAGACGCGCTGGACTGGAATACATCATTGAACTCCACTAGGAGGACGCCAAACGATTTGATCGTACCAGGAATTAAGATGTTCACTAGCGTCGCACCTGTCAAAGGTTAATATGGGTAAATATTGTGGAATAATTTATTATTAAAGATATTATTAAAAAAAAATTCTTGCCCCACACTAGGATTGCCTCCTGTGTCGTGTGTGCGTTTACAAACATACGAGTTCACATATACATGACACACAGACCCGGAACAACAATTTGTGGATCACACAAAGTTGTTCCGTGCGGGAATCGAACCCGCGACACTTTAACATACAAGTTCACATACACATGACACCCAGACCCGGAACAACAATTTGTAGATCACACAAAGAGTTGCTCCGTGCGGGAATCGAACCCGCGACACTTTGCGCGACAGCCGGTTCCTCAGCCACTGCACTAACTGCAATCGTCCAATACGCATGACTCTATCTATCTCTGTACCGAACTACCGATTCAATTTAAATTGAGTGACATCACAAAATGTCTAATGCTGGAATACTGAAACGTTACTCAATTTCAAGTCGTGCTCAAATATCGTGCCATCTCTGTCATTTTACAAAGAATTTGTAGAGATAGAACTACAAGGTGTTGTTTTAAAGCCGCGTCGTTTTCTAGGCGGTAACTTGGCTATCGATTCTGAGTCCGAATCAATAAAAAAAATGTAGGTAAATATTTTTAATTTTTCTGTAAATTACGGAAATCCGTAAGTGCGAACTACACGCCGCCGTCTTGTAACTAGCTTTATAACGCGGCTTAACACACACAAACTCAAACACGTAATTGATATTATTCCTAATTCCATAAAACAACCAATAACGAACATTGCTGTCGCTTATTCTGAAATACTGTCGAACTTAAACGATTTATTATAGCCGTATTTTTAACTATTGGCCCGAAATTTTCCTCTTACATTGAACCTTTATGACTTCTGTGATATGTCCTCGAGAAATGTCACGGTTTCAAAACTTCATCTTGTATACTTAAACGCGATTTAAAATTGAGTAACATTTCAGTATTCCAGCATAAGTCTGTGATTTCTGTGAATTTCTTCTTCTAACAGCTTGAATGCCCGTATAGAAAATACATTGTGTCTCGCGTGGATTCACGTTTAGACATACGACAGGTTAATGACCTTCCATCCTTAAACTATTGTTGCAAGGAGTCCATGGGCAGCACCGATTGCTTATCATCAGGTGATCTGTCTTCTCATTTGCTACTCTATGCCATAAAAACGAAGTAGGAACTATTTTTTGGGACAAGCCCGCCACACCCTCCCAAAACCGCTGCAACTTCTGTAAGCCAGGATCTACAGCAGATACAACCATGCAAACACCGGAACACTGAAGTCCAGCGCGTCCCAGGGACATGAATACCTGTCTAGGATCCCGCAACGAAATAAATCAGAAGATATTATAGGAGGAGAAGAAAAAAAACGATAGTTTCCACTTCCCTCGGTGAATTACTGCAGGAGACAGAATGAATTAAGCCTAAAGGCACAAAAAAGAAACTGTACAAGTGGGTGAAGCCCAGTCGCCAAGCAAGCAAGGCTGTGACTGGGTTTAAGTTGTATTATATTTACATATTCATAATACGAAGTCCGGCGCGTCCCAGGGACTTGAATAACTGCCTTGGATCCCGCAACAAAGTGAATCAGAGGATATTATAAGAGGAGAAGTAGCAACTAGTAAGAATAAGGAGTTTCCCTCCCCCAGCGTCTCAACGGAGTTTGATGGCCATGTTCTGGCAGATTACCTACGAGAACGCACCATCCCCACTTTCCGTCAGGTGGCACCATCTCCCAGTCCCGCTCCGGCGCCGGACCGATCGTGAACCGGCCGCCGCATACCGCATTCGAGTCCTCCGGTAACTTCACTGTGGACAAAGAGACATAATTGATTAGAAATTATTACATTTTTTTAGTTTTTTATCGAAGAAAGAATAAAGTCTTTTTGAAAATCTCTCAGTAATATAAATGGAACGGTGCATAATACCTAACAGGCTCATTCATCATTACATGGGACTCATACCATAAACGGTGAAAAGTGGGTGTTTCATAGAATATATTTGTCTGGACCTTTTAACCGCTTGAATGCACCGATATCAGACAATAGAAAATACATTGCGTCTCGCGTGGTTCCGCGTTTAGACACACGAAAGGTTAAGAGATGGACCTCTGAGTTTATTTCAGTATCTTTTCTCGAGTAATCTATTAGGAAATGTATTTCTAAAGCAGATTTTAAAAAAATTGACGTAGGTATAAAAGTGCTGTCTTGTAGCCTATTTGTAAAATAATTTTACTTGTTTATATTATTATGTACCCGTGTCTACTTCTTTGGGGATTAAAAGATTGTTATGATCCATCATACAGTAATATTTTTTTATGGAATATGCTCTGTAAACGAGCAGACGGATCACCTGTTAGTAAGCAATCGGCGTCGTCCATGGACACCTGGAACACTAGAGGCGTTACAAGTGTGTTACCTGTCTTTCGGGGATTAGGAATTTGAGGGTTTTTGGGGATTCGGAGATTGGAGTGAGATCCTGACTTACACGACGAAATACAACGCAAGTTTTGTTTCACATCGGTCTTCTGTGAGGCCGTGGTCTTCCATTCGTTCCACATTTATCACTATTATTTATTTATTTATCTTTAAATCACACAGGTACCTAAGTATGTTATAATTGCAACATGCGTCCACGCTTTTTAGTCTGTTTTATGTAACAGTATACTCTTCAACCTGACCCAAGAAATCTTGCAAACTCATCCTCTTGCGTCAGCATCATCGATCTATTCACGAAAAAGCATTCCGTATTCTTATTTTGGCAAAAGCATCGTTGACCTAATGACCTAAGTAGAATTTGGTACATTTCTCATTCAGTTTTCTTGGCACTAGCTTTCCATATTATTAGTATATGTCTAGTCTAGGGTATTTATTAGAATGGGGTGACGTTAGGTATCCTTAATAACATTCTTTGAGAGCCTGAATCCTTAATGACGAAGAAATAAAGGCGTTTCATAAATGTGGCAATATTTTTTATGACTAATAGCAAGAATTATTCATTTGTCTTGATTGTTAGACCCTTACTACAGGATCAATGACTAATTTTCATTTTAATGTCCGTCTGGTAGATTATTTTAAAACATTAGACACGTATTTTTTATTTTATTACGGAAACGAATACTTTCGACGATATATTGATTTGAAATATCACGTGACGTCACTTCTATGTAGGTATGTACATTTTATGCGTACACACCACTTATATCTAGGATTCCAAGAAGTTAAAGACAAATGGCATAACAAGCTAAAGCAAAGAGCTAACATAAAGGCATTCATAATAGACTACAGCTTGTTGCTTCTAATAAGTTCTAATTGTTATATGTGTAAATTTTCGGAATAACAAATCAGTTTTGTTATTAGGTAAACTGGCAATCACTCTTAACCACTTTACTAAGAGCTTGTCAGGAAGTATGAATAAATATATACAACAATACAAATACAAATAACTTAAAATTAAATATTTACTCTTTAAAAAAAAGTTAGCTTAAGCTCAAAAAAATTTTCCTCATCGCTATCGTGAGGTAGTGCCCAAAAGACTGGCAGCATTGCCACGTTGAATGGCAATGCTTAACCTTTTCCCAAGGTAGTAGCCAGCCCTTCGATCACCTGAAGTGTCAGGTAACTATCTCATATCTGACTAGCTTCTGTTAACGGCTTCGCCCGCCTCCCGTGCTACAAAAAGTAGCCAATGTGTTATTCCAGATCACAATCCGGCCACCGTAAGCGCGGGCCTGCGGACGGCGAGCATGCGTGGCTCCCCGTCCGACCAGAAACAGACCCGAGCGTACGGCGCCGAGCGGTCCGCGCGCGACACAAAGAGCCAACAGACCACCACGGATGGGGCCTAACAGGGCTGACGCCGATTCGCATTCGCGGAGAACCTAACGAGTTACCTGGGCTCCGGTTCCAAATTTCATCCTGATCCCTTCAGGGGTTTTAACGTGATTAAGTGACAAACATACAAAAACCAACTCACCAACTTCCGCACTTATAATATTAAGTAAGAAGTACTTAAGATAAGACACTCATGCTTAAGCAACTTAAACAAACAGGGCATGGTCCAGTAATCCCATAATGATAACCAAAGCACGCCATTAGTAGGAGCAAGTTAAAAATATAGTATTTATAAACGATTGCACCCACGGCCTGGCTAGCGGCCAATTTTGGAACTGGAGATGTGATATACGGGTAAAGATTCGTACGAGCCGAGATTGTTAGTTTTGTGGGGTTTTTTGTTTAAGGGGGGAAAATCATCGAATGACTGCTCCCGCCTGGGTGTGGCGTGTGAGAGGGAGTGTCAGACTCTTACTGACTAAAAACCACCCCGTTCCTTCTCCTGCACGTCGAGCCGGAGCCCCGGTTTCCCGTTAGGTTCTCCGCGACTCCGAATCGGCATTGGCCCTATTGGGCCCCATCTGTGGTGGTTCTCTTTGAGGCGCGCGCGGAACGCGACGCACCGTAAGTTTTGTGGGGTAGGGTGCGATGAGTCTGTTGGTAAGCGATTTGTGCCGCACAGGGACCGTGTGTTTTTTTAAAAGGGGGAAAATCATCAAGTGACTGTTCCCGCCTGGGTGAGGCGGGAGGGAGTGTCAGACTCTTACTGACTAAAAACCACCCCGTTCCTACTCCTGCACTTCAAGCCTAAAACATTTGTTTAGTGAGTGACAGACAGTACACAGCTGTAACTACTTCGCGTAGCCAGACTGTAGGAGAGAGCTGATAGAGAATCACTCAAAATTTTTTCTGAAATAGCGAAACGACATCGTGTTGGGCGCTGTGATTGGTTGATTTATTGGAACCGGCCAATCAGAGCGCCGAACGCGGTCTCGTTTGCATTACTTTAAACGTAAAACGGACTTGTACTAAAGCCTCAGAACTTTACGACGTCTCCAATTGGCTAGTTTCTTAGGTTTAAAATAAATTGTTTCAACCTTTCAATGCAATAAATAATTAAATCATACTCTTATCCATTGATTTGACAATTTACCTACTTTTGGATGTTTTATCGCTAATTTTAAGGACATAAGTATACTATTTGACGCAGACGTTCTACGTCATAAGTTGCGATCCAATACAAAATTCATAGAAAAGTATCGTTTTAGACATTTCAGTATGATGCACTGCAAAATGCATGCATTGCAAAATGAAACGTGTCGCGGGTTCGATTCCCGCACGGAACAACACTTTGTGTGATCCACAAATTGTTGTTTCGGGTCTGGGTGTCATTGTGTATGTGAACTTGTATGTTTGTAAACGCACCCACGACACAGGAGAAAATCCTAATATGGGGCAACGTTTTATTAAAAAAAGTATTGATTTAGAATACCTGTCAACTACCGTATAGTTTTACATACAAATAGTGCGCGCGCGGTTACTAGTCTTGACTAGCGGTGCCGTACCGACCCGTATGTTCGGATACACGTTCTAGCTCCGAAACACTACATTATCACAATCTACGATCTGACCTCCAAACATATTTGAGTGAAACACGCGACGATAGACCGAAAGTACCGCGGTAACGTTATTTACTTCAAGAATATAATATTACTATTAGATGCCCGCAGCTTGTCCGCGTGAAATAGTGACTTTGGATAGTTCTTCACAGCTCCTCCCCCGTAGGTGATAGCGTGATAATAAGTAGACTATATGTTGACACGAACTGTTAGTAATATTCATGCAAAATTTGAAGTAAATCCGTGCAATACTTTTTGAGTTTAGCCCGGACATACATACAGACAAACAGACGAAAAATTCTGAAAACTATATTTTTGGTTTCGATAGCGACTGTAGACAAAGCCACCCTATTCTTTTAAAAATATATATTCAATGTTCAGTTTTGACCTCCCTACGATTTTATTAAAGTAAAAACTAGAAATCAATTTTTACGAATAGAGAACGAAAAATAATGTATGTATATATGTATGTATGTATGATTTTTTTTTGTTATCTCTGAAATATATTAGTTTATCTTTCATTGTTCAATAAAATCATTGCTTGCCTCTTGCACCTACCAATTACTCTTCTCTGCATCACCCAAAGGTCAGACTGGTAGAAAATGCCTACAGCATTAAGTCCACCTTTTTGTACATTTTGTGCATAAAGCATCCTTACTATCTTTACTAATATTATAAATCGGAAAGTGAGTTTGTTTATTTGTTCCACTATCACGCCGTAACTACTAAATCGATTGCTTTGAATTTTTGCAGACGTCAAGTTAGAAGTCTGGTTTAAATAATAGGATACTTTTTATCCCGGAAAAAATTGATATTCTCGAGGGAAAACGAAATTATTGGTATAGATGGAGCTGTGTGTATTGGTATATGTCACATAGGCTACTTTTGTGACGCGAGCGAAGCCGCGGGTAAAAGCTAGTATTAAATAAATTAAATAAAAATAATGCCACATTTTCACCGTGTAAAACAGTCAACATTCACTTGGAGCGTATCATATTAAATCACTACACAACATAACAGTCTGAATAGAAACAGCAATAAATAGTTTATGAGCAGTTTAAAGACGAAATAATACAACAATATTAATGATCTGTGAAATGGGACACGGATATATATCAACGTAGGTAGTTACTGTCAAGGACAAAATACTGAAGACAATCAAGCTCCCCCAAGCAGTGTAATTAAGATATTTTGAACTTTATTGCTGTGTAATAAAGATGTAGTGAGGGCAAGTAGAAGTTCGAAACCTACCATCGGCAAGTACGAATGTGACTTTTTCCGAGTTATAAGTACTTTTTAAGATTATCTAGACACCACTGACAAACGGTGAAGGAAAACATCGTGAGGAAACCTGAGC